AAGCAGGTGGACGACTGTGCAAAAGGACATGTGTACGATATAGGATCTTACATCGCCTTGAGGCGACATATGGGCGCAATGAGGCTCTTCTTTAACCTCATCGAATTTGCAGCTCGGATTGACCTTCCCGACGAAGTTGTGTCGCATCCAGTTGTGAAGGCCTTGGAGGACGCGACCAACGATCATGTTTGTTGGCACAACGTAAGTCTGTGCTATCATTTAACACAGGGGCGCTGCTGACATTACCATCGACAGGATATTTTGTCATACAACAAGGAGCAGTCTCGTGGTCACGCACCCTGGGAAAACATAGTTCCCGTGATCATGTACGAACGAGGACTAGACCTGCAAGGCGCCATGGACTACGCTGGCCAGATGTGCAAAGATGCCATCCAGCGCTTCGACTCGAACCGTGCTATGCTCCCTTCGTGGGGCGAAGAAGTTGACAGACAGGTGGCTATCTACATCGAAGGGTTGCAGCACTGGATTGCTGGCTCACTTCGCTGGCATTTTGATTGCGCCCGCTATGCTGTCTCGCCGGACCGAATCATCAAGCTCCTTCCCAAAAGGCCCTACAAGTGTGGAGCCTAACACCTAGTGCATGGCTTGAATTCTGGAGATGAGATCGGTTTCACTTTTTTCATGCACTGCGCAATTCTTATGGTTAGAACGTTAGTAGTATATGGTTCATGTCTCACGCAGACCTGAAAGTTTTTTTCAGTCGCATAATACGCGCGACATTCCGCCTTCCTTGCTTTGTCCTTTGTGGTCTCGAGTTCTCATTCGGCTCCCTACGTGTAACACTTCCCGTCAGTTTTTTGTATCACCAATGTATGTACATATAGAATAGTTGTGTGTCCTTGTACGAATCAAAGTTGCTTTTTGTGTCAGGAGTCACTAGTCAGGACTGATTTAAAGATTGGCCTACTCACAAGTAGCTGGGAGAATGACTCGTACTGTAGCAAAAGTGTGATACACGAATGACTCTAAGCTGCAGGACCCGGTGATATATCACACCTCTCCAGAGTTTGAGAGCGGGCACGCTCGAGGAACCGGACAGCATGGCACCCCAAATCATCCACAGTGCATACTGTACACGTTGACTTCTTGCGTTCATGTTTGAGCTTCAGTTCATGGACTCAGCATCCGGCAAACTGCATTTTGCAAAGTGTGCTTGCGTGTTACCTACTTTCGGATAGACAAAATCTTTGAATACATATTGCAATCCACTTCAGAGAAGATCCTCGAGTCCTGAATGGACATGAGAACGAGGCGAAATATTGTAAGGAAAGATCTTCACAGAACTAAAGCGATACAACTGTTAGTGACTGGATAAAGACTGAAAAGGAACCGAGCCCTCTCGTTCCACGCGCATACCCAGACCCAATCCCTCCGTGCAAACCTGCAAAGAAGCGTACCTGCGATAACCTAGTGTAAACGCGCACACCCCCCCTCCCCAGTTAGCCTTAGGTTGGCTTCCAACGCTCCACCACCCCAAACCCTCGTACGGGGTGCGAGCCAATGGTTCTCAATTATCCCAACATCAGTAATGTAAGTAGAACGCGGTAGTATATAGCATGTATTGTCTACATCGGGCCTTGCCCCAAGCAGACACAAAACAGGAAAAAAAAAGTGACTGGATGATAGAACGATAAAACAAAGTACCGAATGAGTCCCGTGTTGAGTTGAGGGGTGAAGTCGATCGGATTGCCTTGGTCATCCTTGGCGAAAGAAAATTTCATCGTGGATAACATGGTCACGATAGCAGACCACACAGAGGCATCACCAGCATATCGCCCTAATGAAAGAAGGTTGGTCTATCGCATGCTATACGACAATGCAACAACTCAACCGACCTGGACATACGCGCCGGCCTAATCCAAAAATGTATTCCGAGGGATCATCGTCTGTTAACGCGCCGTTGACGTCTAGAAACCTCTCTGGCATGAAACGAGATGCATCAGGATACCGCCTTTCATCTCGTGAAATGGCCCTGCAATATGAGCATCATCATCTCGAAACCTGTAAAGAAAATCCATCTGACCAGACGTTGCACATGACGGTCGTTCCTGATGTGCGGTGTTATAAATGATTTGATCGACGGATAAAAAACAACAAACCTTTCGGAATGAAATAACCATCATATGTATCATCACTTGTGGTGACATGTGCAACGCCTACAAAAATACCTTCAGCAAAGGCGAAATAACACAGCAAGAAAGATTACCAAGAGGTACGATAGGCTGCCATCGCAAAGTCTCGCGCAGAACTGATTCAATATATGGTAGTGACGTTCTATCTTCAAAGGTAGGTAAGCGATCCCGGCCAACCACTGAGTCGATCTCCGCTTGTGCGCGTCTCTGAACACCTGGATACAATACCATGGCGAGAGCAAAAATCGTGATGACTGAAGTAGTCTGTGAAGAAATTCAGAAGTTGACAATATACTTCGGACATCTGCTAACCGTCTCGTATGAACCTGAATAAATATTGTATCAATGATAGGTATGCCGTCTCTTATAAAAAGATAACGAACCAACAACAGCAGTAGTAGCTGCTTTCTTTAAGGCATCCTCAAACAATGAGCGGGATGTCTGATCTTGCTTCTCGATTCGTTGAAGATTTTCTGCGACCATCGACAACTGACCGAGTGCCGAGTTTTCGACCTTGACGATTATGTGATTAATAGCTGGGAGCCTGGGACAGGACCAATATTTCTAAAAATGAAAGATGCCCACCATATGGTCTTGCGCATATTGGAACGGCACGTCGGTCATTTCTCTCATACGATCGAACGACGTTCGAGCATCGCGTTTGATTGAGGATCCCCAGCACCAGTCAGGTAACTTCAGTACTACACAGTACAGAATGTCAGCTATTTTCATGAGGAAAAGAGACGAGCTTACAGAAAGGGAAGGTTTTGAGCAGGATTGCTCTCTCTGGGGTCATCACCTGAAAACCAAGACCTATTGCATTTTCTACGATTAGAACCAGAGGATCATCACGAGAACTAGTTTGGTAGCCGTAGGTCACTGACATCGCAACTGATAACGAGAATCTATGAACAGGTTAATAATAATTTGATGTTTACAAACACATAGACTGACGTTGCAAAGTGAGAATGATAATTCTGAGGATCATCAATGAGGTTGACGATCATCTCACGAGCCTTCTTGATTTGCATTGGACGAAACTTAAGCGCAGATTCAGGACGAAAAGTTTGATGAAAGAGTCGTCGGGCAAGACGCCATTCGTTGCCATAGCCTGTGAATGCAAAGATGACCGACCAACCAAACCTGCCTGTATTCCATAATGATAAAATGGAAGAATGTTAGAAGAACGCACGGCTCGACTGTGGCTAAGTATGGTCGATCGGAGTAAATGCGAGAACGCTTGTCCAGCAGGGCTTCCGCGACGTGTTGAGAATTGATCACCACGATCTCCTGGCCTAGAAGTCGCACGAAAAACAAGTCCCCTAATACAATGATCTGTACCACATGTGCATAGTACTATCTGACCACGTACCATAAACAGCAGCCCATTCGGTGTAGGTCAACCATGCCGCTTTGGTGTCGAGAGACAAGATGTTTCCTAATAGTGGGAGCGGCACGGGGCCAGGGGGGAGTTTGTTCTGTCTGTTCCAGATGAACCGCTTGAGGAATGTGATGACAAAAAAGGAAGTAGGTAAGACGGCGAGGATAGCAAGGCGACCATCAACTGAAGGAAACATGGTTAGAGCGGTGCGTGGGCAGACACCCAACGCACAGAGGGGGCCTTATAACTGTATGGAGAATTGTTTTCCACACCCTGTACGTGGCCCACTAATGTGGGAGGTGGGTTTTGTCCAGAACATTTTGCTTCTTTCCGTATGCACCCGTCATGCATTGTTTCAAGCTCGGTGTTAGTAAGTGGACTTGTGGAAAGGAAACAAAGTGAAGCTTATGTAGTATGAAGACAGGCCTTTTCCAAGTTGGGCGGAGGCTACAGATAGTCTCATCGGATTGATCACAAGAAAGAAAAAAGCAAATCAGGTGTGTGTTAAGGGGAGAACCAGGAACTCCCGCCCAAAGCCGTGGGCAAGACAAAGGCACGACTAAACTGGAAAATAAGGCAAAGCAAGCCTGAAACAACTGGAAGTATTCTGCATGCAACCGTGTTTAGTAGAAGTTCGAGAGAGTGCCAGTAGCGGAGGAAAGAGTGGGAGGACCATTATCCAATACCTTGAACGACATCGGGTGGGACTCCTGACAGTAGAAATGCCATTGTTCCATCAACACTGAACGAGCGACCTGAACAAGTGGAGAGACCGAAGCTGGTCTGGTTGATAACACAGAATGACATCTTCGTTGCGCGTTTTTATTACTTTGGTGAGAGTTAAGTGTGGTTCGCGGGATCCACTGGAGTTGAAAGGTGGTGCGAGATTGCTGCGATGAATGAACTCTCGCACTGCGACAAAATGTCTCCCAAATAGAGTTGACCCCCCAGTTGTTGGCGGGTGTGGGACAGCAAATGTCGAAGAAATTGGAAGCATCTGGTTTGGATGTAGGGACCAGTAGCATGGCTCTTGTAATGGGTCACGACTTGCGGAGAACGTTTCGAAGAATCAGCCGCTATAGCTAATAGATTTGCGATTCTACTGAGAGTCAGCGAGGAAGATGTTGTTTACATAAGAATTTCAGGATGGTTCAACTGCGGGGTTTGCGCCGATTCCCTTCTTGTCTGCAAAGAAGGATCTTCATTTGGGCTCAGGCTGGACCTGCTACAGCACCATTTTCTTGTATTTTTACTCGTACAATATGAACCTAATTGATAGACAAATCTCAATCAAAACTACTTAAACGAGGTGTGTGTCGGCGCAACTCGAACCGGAAAAAGGATGTGTCAAATATAGGTACACTGAAGGCACTGCGGCGCGAAAAGACCATGTAGGAGACTGATAGGTAGTTGGCTCAAGTCAGAACATAGGAAAGGACGATGACAAGTTTTTCACCATACACATATTACTCTTCCATTCGTAAAGCATCCATAAGTCCTAAATGAACATGAGAACGTGGTAAAATACTGCAGGGAAAGACCATAGGGGAGCTAAAGTGAAGATATTAGTGACGGGATGAAATGACACAAGAAAAACAAGTACTGAGTCAGTCCCGTCGTGAATTTGGGGGTGAATTCGATCATTTTGCCCTGATCATCTTTGGCAAAAGAAAATTCCACCGTGGCCAGCATAGTAACAATAGCGGACCACAGAGAGGCATCAGCAGCATGTTGGCCTGAATCAAAGAATGTATTAACTCATCGCATGCAATAAGGCAATGTAAAACTTGACCTACCTGGACATCTACGTCGACCCAAGCCAAAGATATATTCAGCCGGGTCATCGTCCGTCAGCGCACCATTGGCGTCCATGAACCTCTCTGGCATAAACACAGATGCATTAGGGTACCGCTTTTCATCCTGTGAGATACCCCTGCGATATAACGTCAGCATCTCGAAGCTTGAAGATAATGCATCTAACCATATGTTTAATAGGACAGCCGCTCCTGATGCATGATGTTATTGATGATTTGCTCATTAGACGAAAACGGCAGACCTTTTGGAATGAAGTAACCGTCATATATATCATCGCTCGAGGTGCATGTGGCACTATAACATCATCTTCAGTGCAGGCTCGATCCCTTAACGAGGTAGGCTACCAATGGGTCCGACAGGCTGCCATCGCAAAGTCTCCCGCAGAACTGATTCAACGTATGGTAGTGACGCTCTGTCTTCAAAGGCAGGCAAGCGATTCCGGCCAACCACTGAGTCGATTTCCGCTTGTGCACGCTTTTGAACACCTGGGTAAGACACCATGGCGAGAGCAAAAACCATCAAGACTGAAGTAGTCTGTGAAGAACTTCAGCAGTTGAAAATATAGTTTGGACATCCGCTAACCGTCTCGTATGAACCTGAATAGATATATATCAATGAGAGGTATACCGTCTCTTGTGAAAAGATGACGAACCAACAATAGCAGTAGTAGCTGCTTTCTTTAAAGCGCCCTCAAACAATGATCTGGAAGTCTGATCTTGCTGCTCGATCCGTTGAAGATTTTCCGCCACCATCGACAACTGACCAAGGGCCGAGTTTTCGGCCTGACGGCCATGTAATTAATAGCTAGGACAGGATCAATATTTTTGAAGACGAAAGATGCCCACCATATGGTCCTGCGCATATTGGAACGGCACGTCGGCCATTTCTCTCATGCGATTGGTTGAAGTTCGAGCGTCGCGTTTGATTGAGGATCCCCAGCACCAGTCAGGTAACTTCAGTACTGCACAGTACATAATGTCAGATATTTTCACGAGGAAAAGAGGTAGGCTCACAGAAGGGGAAGGTTTTGAGCAAGATTGCATTCTCTGGGTTATTCACCTGAAAGCCAATAGCCACTGCATTTTCTACGAGTCGAACCAGTGGATCATCACGAGAAATGGTTTGATAGCCGTAGGTCGCTGACATCGCAACTGATGACGAGAATCTATGAACAGGTTAAGAATAATTTGATGTTTACAAACAGATGGACTGACGTTGCAAAGTGAGAATGATAATTCTGAGGATCATCAATGAGGTTGACGATCATCTCACGAGCCTGCTTGATCTGCATTGGACGAAACTTGAGCGCAGAGTCAGGACGATAAGTTTGATGGAGGAGTCGTCGGCAAAGACGCCATTCGTCACCATAGCCTGTGAATACAAATACGTCCGACCAACCAAACCTGCCTGTATTCCATAGTGATTCAATAGAATAATGTTAGAAGAACGCACGGCTCAAGTGTGGCTATGTATGGTCTATCAGAGTAAATGCGAGAACGCTTGTGCAGCAAGGTTTCCGCGACGTGTTGAGAATTGATCACCACGATCTCCTGGCCTAGAAGTCGCACGAAAAACAAGTCTCCTAATACAATGATCTGTACCACATGTGCATAGTAGTACTATCTGACCACGTACCATAAACAGCAGCCCATTCGGTATAAGTCAACCAAGGCTCTTTGGTGTTAACAGAGAAGACATTTCCTAGCAGTGGGAGTGGCACCGGGCCAGGGGGAAGTTTTTTCTGCCTGTTCCTAATGAACCGCTTGAGCGATGTAATGACAATAAAGGAAGCAGGTAAGATGGCGAGGATGGCAAGGCGGCCATCAACTGAAGGAAACATGGTTAGAGCGGTGTGTGGGCAGACACCCAACGCACAGAGGGGACCTTATAACTGCATGAGGACTCGACCACTTACCACAAGGACGGGCCGCGCATCAGTGAACCGGTGTGCTACCGACATCGTAAGTTGAAATGCTCTTTCCCATACATGACGTTATAAAACAACGAGCCATATTGCCGAGTTCGCTTCGGACCCGGAAATCATGTTGATGAGTCTTGCAATTTGATATGCAACACACTGCACAGCTTTATCTTCTTCGCACCGCGGTTCTCTGGTGCCGACACCGTATACAACAATACTAATGCAGCATATTAGTATGTGCTGTAAGGGTTGGTTTATCTAAACCTTTTTGTGGCATATAGTAATTTATCTTCGTATATGCCTAAAATTGCAATATAGCGTGGAGTGACCAGACCAGATGAGGCTCTTTTTCTAACAGGACACCGATATCAGCTGACATAATCTTACCAGGCTCCTGCCAGCCTGAGTGCCATGTAGTAAAGACACTTTCGAGGAGTACAAGGTGTGCATTTGTTGATTTGTGTCCTTTCTCTCTCTGATATCACACTTTATTGAAGCTCTATACTCACGAATCATGACTGAATTACACTATAACGGCGCCGGGTGACCTCTATCAGTGGGTATGTGTACACACTGACCCGTCGATGTGGCAGTTCATGGGAAATACCGCGAGTACATTATGAAGATGAGTGATTGACAAAAATCAACACATATAACTACTCTTACTTGTCGTCCTCAGCTTCATTTCATTTCGGATCAGTTTTGGACTTCCTTACAGAGGCTAGAAGGTCCTCCATGGCCAGAAGGTCACTTCTTAGAGCCATTACGGCGCACAGACTTCATTTCTTTCTGGACGGTCTTGCGTGTATAACCCCAGGAAACAGACAGAACCCGATTGGTTGAACATACTGATCGGTAGTGAAGTGTACTAAGAACAGTGTTTACGGACGCTATCTTGGGCTGAACCGAATGACGAGGCTCCCCATTGGAGTGTAGCTCCGGCTTCATTTGCAGGGCCGATAGGTGCACCACACCTCCACGGGTACGGGTATACACCGACCTGTCAATGTCGTGGTTTATGGAAAACACCGCGGGTACATTACCAAGATGAGTGTATTAGCAAAAATCCAATACATATTACTACCTTTAATTTTCATTCTCCCTCGCTTCGGCTTGTCTTCGCTTCCATTTCTGACTCCTTACAGAGGCTAGAAGGTCCTCCGTCTCCAGAAGATCGCTTCTGCTCCGTTGTAGGGTCGGTAGCGGTGCAACGCGATCGGTGGAACAGGCTTATCCGTAGTAAAATCTACCAATGGTTCAAGCATTTACGAACACCGTTATGGGCTACACCGCATGATGAGGCTCCTAAACGGGCCTAGTAACTCTGGTCTCAGTTGGCAGGGCCGATATTGTGCACAGACTCACTGCATGAATTTACCGCCTTCCCTCGTGGGTTTCGCAGTAATTCATTATGCCGTCCACAAGGCCTTTTGATAGACACGGACTTTCATAAGATATGGTATGATTTACGTCCGACCAGCTAAACCAGGCCAATCTCACCAATTTTTCTCAACAGTACAAGTCCGAACAGATCTTATTGTTTACAATCCTTGCAAAAGAATCACCCTCATAATGGCTTGATTGTCTGTTGGAAATCTCGGTAGACTTACTAAATTTTGTAGACATTTCGCTGACCAGGTGGCTAATTTTCCGCTTCCAAAACCGTGAATTAGCCCAGGTGGACTTCAGGCCATGGCTTTGGCTCACGGCTTGGCCTGGGCGTTTTAGAAGCCAAAGCCCCCCTCCCAAGCCAGGCTTAAGCCGGGCCTTTCAGGCCGAGCCGGGCTCAAGATATACGGTTATGTACGGGAAACCAGCATCCGAGGTCATATCCTCATACCGTGTTATTTATCTAATAGGTCACAAATCCGTAATAAATACCAGGGTATAAAAGTGCATCAAACACATCTCAATCATTCTCTCACTAAATCTCCTACTAGTAGCTTCTCACAATGTCAACTAACACACTCTCCACATCCACTCCCAATGATAGTGTACGTATATTCACTCTGCCAAGTTGTTAATATACCCTGAATATTCTCTTGGATATAGCACCTGGCGAGCATCCGCCAGACAATTGCCAATTTTCTTCGGCGTTGTGGTTCGCAATATACAGATGTCGAGATCGACAAAGAATACTACTGTGAATGCTGCCAGGAGGCTATTAACCGTGGTTTTCCGATGGATGGGAAATATTCCATCCGCGCATACATGGAGGTTGGTGTGGCCATAGCGCCCTCTTACGCCCACCTTCCTGACCATGCCAAGATGTGGATGTGCCTCTTCACTGCTGTCGTCGCCCGCATCGATGACATGGTGCTCCAGGGAGAAGACATAACGCATGTGTACCATTTCAACGAGCGGTTTGTGAACTGCCAATCACAGGGTCATCCAATTTTGAATGCGCTCGATGTGATCTTGCGTGAAATCACTTGCTTTCATTCCCCGCTGGTGTCGAATTTTATCACTGTGGCCGTACTCAACTTCGTGAGTGCCAACTGCCTCGAAAGTGAGACTAAAGACATGCAGGTATGATTTATGTCTGAATAACACGTTGAATATTATAATTTGACCCCTTCTATTGTAGATCTCGCCCAAGGCTCCCTTCTACCCAGAGTATTCTAGGGTCCTATCAGGCATACCGGATGCATTCGGGTTTTTTGCCTTCCCTTCCATGCTCCCGATCAAGGAATACATTCAATGCATTCCGGATCTAAGGATTGTCATAAACCATGTAAAGTAGGTACATCAACGACTTCCTTTTAGGCTTCCTAACTTGTCGTCGTCCAGTGACATACTATCTTACTACAAGGAGGAGATTGAAGGTGACACCACAAACTACCTGTCGCTCATGGCAGCCTCTCGTACCTCCACCAAACAGGATGCCCTGCGTGAAATGATCGAGAAAACTGTACAAGCGCATCACAATATCCTCGAATGCCTCAGACCTTGTTCGGAGGCCTATGATACCTACGTCCATTTTTTCGAAGGATATATCAAATTCCATGCTGCCTTAGAAAGGTACAGGATGAAGGAGATCATGGCCGAGATGTCATCTTATTGATGAATGTTGAAATTTCTTCCTAGTATGATTCCGACTTTCTGTGTTGATCACTATATCTTGACTTAGCCGCCTGTATAGCTGTACTACCTGTCTTTTAGTGGAGCGTTACTTGACTTCGTATATTCTTTGGGCTTACTGTATTAGTATACAGCTAAATCACCTTGTTTACCACTTGCTCTGAGTCACACTGTCGTGCCAGGTGCAGCAAGCACGCCTGAAGCTCTATTGCGGACCCATTGTGTGCCTTTTCTTTGTTGTGCATCTCCCCCACTTGAAGATGGGCATTGACATGTTGTTATCTCTTTGTCGATGTTCTCGCTGGTCGAGACATCCTTTTCAATCTACACATACTGAGGTGTGCATCTGTCCTTGCCTTCGTATCAGACTCGTACTGATGTACCTTACTTAGTGTGCGTGCTCACCGCTAGACTCTGCTAGCAGCATTAGCGACCTTATTAATAAAGCATTTTATCGTATTTCGCACTAAATCTGCATCGATGGCGTGAGTGGATGACTTCCTGCAAGTAACGTTTAGAACATTGTTCTACATAAATCTAGAATTTCGCACATTTCTCCAGAGTTTGAGAGCGGGCATGCATGTTCGAGGAACCGGACAGCATGGGACCCCAAATCATTCATAGTGTATACTGTACAGTGTACACGTTGATTTCTTGCGTTCACTTTTGAGCTTCATTTCATGGACTCAGCATCTATTTTGCAAAGTGTGCTTGCGTGTTACCTACTTTCGGATAGAGAAATACATATTACAATCCACTTCAGAGAGTGCATCTGTCCTTTCCTTTGTATCAGAGTCATACTGATGTACCTTACTTTCACAGTGCATACTGTACATGTCGACTTCTCGCGTTGAGCTTCAGTCAATGGACTCAGCGGCCCGCAAACTGCACCTTGCAAAGTGTGCTTGCAGCGTTACCTACTTTCCGATAGACGAGAGTCTTTGTACTATATACATATTCCAATCCACTTCAGAGAAGATCCTCGAGTCCTGAATGGACATGAGAACGAGGCGAAATATTGCAAGGGAAGGCCATCACGGAACTAAAGCGATACAGCTGTCAGTGACTGGACGATAGGACGATAAAACAAAGTACCGAACGAGTCCCATGTTGAATTGAGGGGTGAAGTCGATCGGATTGCCCTGGTCATCTTTAGGGAAAGAAAATTCCACCGTGGATAACATGGTCACGATAGCAGACCACACAGAGGCATCACCAGCATACCGCCCTGATTAAAGAAGGTTGGTCTATCGTACGATATACGACAATGCAACCCACCTGGACATACGCGCCGGCCTAAACCAAAAACGTATTCCGAGGGATCATCGTCTGTTAACGCGCCGTTGACGTCTAGAAACCTCTCCGGCATGAAACGAGATGCATCAGGATACCGCTTTTCATCCCGTGAAATGGCCCTGCAATATGAGCATCAGCATCTCGAAACCTGTAAAGAAAATATATCTGACCAGATGTTGCACATGACAGTTGTTCCTGATGTGCGGTATTATAAATGATTTGATCAACGGATAAAAATAACAGACCTTTCGGAATGAAATAACCATCGTATATGTCATCACTTGAGGTGGCATGTGGAATACCTACATTATTATCTTCAGCAAAGGCAAAATAACAGAGAGCGGCGGATTACCAAGGGGTAGAATGGGGTGCCATCGGAAAGTCTCCCGCAGAATGGCTTCGACATAAGGCAGCGATGCTCTGTCCTCAAACGTAGGTAAGCGATCTCTTCCGATCACCGAGTCGATCTCGGCTTGGGCGCGTCTCTGAACATCTGGATACAATACCATAGCGAGAACAAAAACCATCAAAGTCGAAGAAGTCTGTGAAGAGGTTAAGCAGCACACGACATGGTTCGGGGGACCGCTGACCGTCTCATATGCACCTGCACAGTATATTTGTCAAGAACATAGTGTCCCTTGTACCAAAAAGGTGACGTACCCACAACTACACCTGCAGCTGCTCTCTTCAAGGCAACCTCGAACATTGGCTTGGACGCCTCATCTTGCTTCTCCATCCGTTGCAAATTTTCTGCTACCATTGAAAACTGGCCGAGGAACGATTCTTCAACCTTTTCAGGCATGCAATCAATGTCTAGCGCTGAACTAGATCAAAAAAGATGCTCGCCATATGGTCCTGCGCATATTGAAACGGCAAGTCCCTCATTTCATTCATATGTTTGGTTGAAATTTGAGCATCGCGTTTGATCGACGATCCCCAGCACCAGTCAGGCAACTTCAGTACTGCATGAAAGCGCAGAATGTTAGGATTTTTTCGTCAATGAGAGTGGACTCACAGAAGGGGAAGATTCCAAATAAGATTGCATTCTTTAGGGTCATCATTTCAAGGCCAACAACCATTGCAGTTTCCAAGACTCGTACTAAAGGATCATCGCGAGCGCTGGGCTGATAGTTATATATGACAGACATCACAACCGATGACGAGAAGCTGTGAATAAGTGAGCAATCCCTCGATAATCGTAAATACATCAACTGACGTTGCAAAGTGGGAATGATAATGTTGAGGGTCATCGATTAGGTTGACGATCATCTCACGAGCCCGTTTGATCTGAGTCGGGCGAAACTTGACTGCAGAGTTGGGGCGAAAAGTTTGCTGGAAGATTCGTCGGGCAAGACGCCATTCATCACCGTAGCCTGTGAATGCAAAGGTGATTGTGGACCAGCCAGATCTGGCTGCAACTCAGATTGGTTGAATGAAAGAAGATTAAAAAAACGCACGGCTCTACTGTGGCTAGGTATGGTCGATCGGAATAAATGCGAGAACGCTTGTCCAACAAGGCTTCTGCAAGGTGCTGGGAATTGATCGATATGACTTCCTGACCTAGAAGTCGCACAAACACCAAGTCTCCTGATATAATGATTTGCACCACATATGCACCATAGTACTAGCAGAATGCGTACCATAAGCAGCAGACCATTCAGTATAAGTCAACCAAGGCTCCTTGGTGTTAACAGATAAGACGTTTCCTAACAGTGGGAGCGGCACTGGACCAGGGGGAAGTTTGTTCTGTCTGTTCTTAATGAACCGCTTGAGGGCTATGATGCCAACAAAAGAAAGTGGTAAGACGGCTAGGATACCAATGCGACCATCGACCGAAGGAAACATGTTCAGAGGATGCGCAGATATACCTCCAAAGCACGAAACGGACCCTATAACTGCATGGGGAGCCACTTATCTGGTCCGCCAGTGTGAACATTTGAACAGCGGGCCGGGCATCGAGTATCGGGCGCTGCACGCCGGCATCAGATTGAATGATCATAAGGCCTGTCGATGTGTAGTCTACTGTCGTGATAATTTTGACCACAGTAGACATCTTATAGATCATCAGAGTTATCGATTTTACACCCGCCCCAGTTCAAACGTTCACAACTCATGTTCGTTGACAATGATTCGCGGACTGGCAATACTGGAACTTCCTTTTATAATGGTAGCGTCTCATCGCGGTCGGACCGTGTATATAGATAATAGAAGGAAGACAGCTTATCGTTTTTGATTTCAATGGAAAACCAAGTCTGGCACTTGAAAAGACCACGTTATGGCCTCGTATCATCTTTCATAGCGTGATCGTCGGCATACATATTTATTTTTACACCGTCCACCTTATCATCTCGCAGAAATTGGCAAGACTGGGAGTCTGGGACCGGTACACGATTGACAAGATGAGCATAACAAGGCAGAAATGTGAAACATCAAATTGGCAAGACTGTTCCAAGCGGAAGGGATAGTGAGGTCGGTCATCGGACAGGACAAAAGTACCAAGTAAGTATGTGTGGTCAACTCTGACCGGCGAAACAGTCCACGGACAGGAGTCACCGCTAGAATCTCGAGATCCGGGATGCAAGACGCTTGACACAAATAACTCGTTCTAATTTAAATACCCTGGGCTGGTACTGCCAGTTCTTCTGTACTCTTATCCCTTTCTCCAATCTTTTCTCGACAATTAAATAAATACTTCAACACAAAGATCGTCAGCCCGACTAGGTAAAGATATCAGTCCTCCGGTGTAATACTCAGCTATACCATAAAACTACAATTTTCCTGTTTCGACGGATGGAAGGAGGGGGGGCGTCTATATCAGTTGAGTAGGAGTTGGGAGATGTGGTGTATAGTCACTGGGTCACCTTGAGCATATGCGTCGCACTACGACGAACTCGAAAAAGACGTTCCTTTCCACCACTTGCTGACCTTGGCTACAGAGTAGCGTGCACTCTTAGCCACACCAGCGCTTACTATGCCCTTTAGTGACTGTACAGTTGCTGGGTACCGCACGATCTTGGTTATTTCTAGTAAGAACATCAGCATGAAGATCTCGAGATACAAACAGAAAAACATACCAGAGTCAAGAATCGAGGGAAGCTCCTTGTCGCCTGCGATACGGAGCCAATAAGCGCTCTCATCCGCCTCTCTAGGCGGACCACGCCCCTCGGCACGCTGATGAACGTGCTTCAACAGCTCTTCCGGCAATTTCTTGAGATGCGCTGCTCTCGCATGCGGACTGGTATCCTGTTCCACGCTCTTGGAACCCGCCGCCCACCGGACCCCAGGAAGGCCCTGCGCAAGCCTCCAATACAACTCCCGAAACTGGTCCTCCTGACGAGAGACCATATTCTCCACCTTTCCTCGATTCTCGGCTGGGAGCACCATTCGAGGGTCACCAGAGTAGCTTATTCCTGCTATAGCTGAGAATAACTCGCGTTGAGTAAAGGATTCCGGGAGCATGAGAAGGGCAGTGCGAAGCGCAGAAGTGAGGTTGACTTGCTGAGTCAGTCGTACGCGTGCATCGTCCTTGATAATCCGCAGAGGCTTGTGCATCCTCCCCGCAAGATAAAGTGTGCGCCAGTTAAGCAGGTCAGCACATAGCGTGTCGACGGTCGTCACTCCATACTTGATATTCTACGGCAGTAAGAGTAAGCGAATAGCGGAATGGTACGAACGAAAGTGACGTACGACCCCCTTCACCGGCACAAAAGTATTGAACCAAAGCCCAGGGCTGAGCTCTTGCGTTTTGGAGACAAACGATGACCCTAGTACGCGTGCATGCAGGGGATAATGACCGGGATGCTGTTGCATGTTAATTGAGTGCCAGTGGTCCGAATGCGTGACCGCGAATATGAAGTCCAGCATCGGCCTGTCTTCCTTATCCTTCTGCTTCTCATACCCGGCCTGCTCAAAAACACCAGATCCATAGGCAAACGCGTATCGAATGGGCGCTTCGAACGATCTTACGATGTCTTCTAGAAGGGCGCGAGTGGAGTCTGGTACCGGTAGGACTTGGTTCCGCCCGAAGCTTGCAGGAAGAGTTGGGAGTGCTTGTCGTTGACGGGGAACGGCTGGACGCGGGCGCGGATATAATTGTGACTGACGAGACTTGCTTGTCTCTGGCTTCGAGATGTGGAGTGGTGGAGTGAGGACATTGTGAGAAGTGGTGGAGTCGGTTGTTAATGAGCGAGTAAGACATTGTAAATGATGAGCTGATGCCCGGCTAGCTGATGAGCGAGTGGTGGATAACATACTGCACGACGACAGCGATAGATGTGACACTGACGATGATGGTAGCTAGATTCCAGTTCACTCTCGATCGCACCTAAACCACGTGACTATGAACGTTTTTGCGGCTGACGCGGTAGTCCGGCAATTAAGACCTCCCGCATCCGTATGGATCAAAGCTTGCAGATGATTTTATGTAGTCTTCCCTCGTACTGTGCGCTATCTCATGCTTGTTGCAACGTTGATCTGTCTCTAGCTTCCGAATCATCATGTCGTTCGTCGGCTGCTTGCCTGTAGTATCTGTTGTTTTCAACCTCGAATCGCGTCGTTGTCTTGTCTCTGCTCGCTCACTTGGTCATTTGGGTGTGGGTGTAAGCTCAAGGATGAATTATTGGATAGGATCATCGACCACACGTCTAAGGGTATGTGCACCCTGTATTCGCAGGATCGCCGATCAGCTTGTTCTCAAGTGATTGACGAGTATCGCGCTGAAAGTTTACCAGAAGGCAACATTGGGTTTAACAGGCCTATGGATGTATGATGATTTTTCTGATCGGCGAGCCAACAGATGTCGAATTTACAAATTCATCTTGAGTTTGTTGCGCTTGTTGCGCTGTCGCAATGTTGAATATGATGGTGATAGTCTCTCGTGGCTGAGAAAGCATTTGAAATCACACATTGGTGTCCTTATAAAGGGTAAGCGAACACAAGCAAGGCTTTCACCTCCGCTGCGTCAGCATGCAGGATTGTACAGTAACAGAAAAATGTGGAAACTTGGTACAATAGGGCAAGTCGGGTAGCAGGCTTTGCCAATTTAGATGGCACTACATACTATATCTATGTGGTCTTTGGCTACTTCATAGGTCTGAGTGAATATAAGAGCGTGGTAGAATATTACAAGGAAAGACCATGATGCAGCTAAAACAATGAGACTGAGAGTGACACTGCAGGATAATAGAATGGCACAATGAACTTTGCAGAGTGCTACCCAGAACGAAATTGAAGTCAAAAACGATCCATTTAGATAAAGAGAGAACATCATACCAGAACTATGTCATTCAAAACTCACGCGTTGTATTGTGGCGGCGGCGGCGGCCCTCAATAATATCACTGGAGACACTCTACAGCCGCCTTGTGTCATGATATATGAACGCTGCAGATGCGAAATTAAGTGTATCCCTAAATTCGTATATAAACCAAATCTAAATTCAAGTCTTACCCAAATGAAGTTGAGACTAGATCTCAGGAGCTGAACCTGCGATTTCTCACACGGCACGGCACACCAGTTCAGAAAGGACTTGAGCATGCATGCCCTATCGTGCAACGTAGCACGCTCGCGTCAGCGATGCATTGTGTTTTTCTTCATTAACAACAGCACAAGGTAACTTGGAGGGATCTGACGAAAGGACAGACAAAAACTGTAGAATAAAGTCTGAGTTGAACTCGACAATATTTAGTGGGATAACATACCTGTTCGTAAGCCAAGCCCATCCGCTGGAAGAACTTCGGGAGATCGATCACTCCATATTGTATAAAAACACTGTCGTTATTTATATTGACATATGGGCCCACATGACCAACATGCAACTGTTGCAGAAACAATAAAAGAGCGGCAAAAAAGGGAGATATAGACCTGTGAAAGACGCAAGTGAAGATGCCGTAGATAGGCACATATACAAAGGAGAACAAATGCAACGATATGAAATGAGAAATAGTGTACATAGGATATATCCTGAAATCAAGACCAGAAGGCGATGCCTTCTCGTAAATGAAGCATAAAATAAGAACCACACACCGCTCATATGTCAGTCCCACCTGGATGCCCAATGCCTTGACTGTCGTTTCAGTACATCGCCCCTACCGCTTAGATGCATTGGCCCAAGGACTCTTCGGTTTGGCTGCTTCTTCCGCCAGCTTTTGAGCCCTGAGTATGGCGCTCTTGTTGACGCGGGGAACGATGGAGGGAGCCTGAAGGCTGCTCAGACGGCGCACCGATCGTTGCGATGATGCGGCTCTGTCGAGCTCATCCATGCTGGTAGTGCTGGTAGTGCTCACTGCAGAACTCTCAGAAGCTTGAGAGGAGTAGCTATTGATGTTGTTTAAACTTGCCCTCGGGGCGACATGGGAGACACGGGAAGATGCCCGAGACGGTACCGTGGAACTTGAACGGGTCCGAGTAGTAGAGTCTGGTCCGGCACTATCAGGATAAGCACTAAGAGAAGAGCTGCTTCTCGACTGAGTGCCAGGCACCTTGGGAGCGGACGGAGTACGGACTGAAAATATTCATTGCGTCAGTGTCGAACTTTAAAAAAAATTGATCAACCGTAAAAAAAAGTGCCATCGTGTGGAGAGATTAATGAAGAGAAAACAGCTGCCAAGGACTTACACATGAAACTGCTCGGCGGAGGTCCGCCCTGCTTTCTGAGGGCTGCAGTCTTGTTGGTTCTGGGAACTATGGACGGAGCTTCAGTTGTACTTGCGACAGGTATCGATTGGCGACGCTTGTGCCCAGGAACACCGTCAAAAATATTTTTGCGTTCGCGTCTTCGTTCAGTCTCCGTGTCTTCGCCTTCTCCCCCGGCATCACTAGGTGAACAAGATGTCTGCGAAGAAACAGCAGACCCATTGGCGCTGATCGCTACTTTTCCATCGGTGACCGAGCCAGCCATCGATGCACGCCTCCGCCCAGGAGGTAAAGCGGGCTGGGCGAGGCCCAACCGTAGGGCGGCTGCCTTGGTCAACCTTGGGGTAATGGTGGGTGGCGCAGTAGACGCAACGATGAGCGTCTCAGCACGCTTGTGGCCGGGAATGCCTGCAAATGTCCTCTTGATCCTTTCCTTCTCCATCTCTTTCTCCGCTGCGTTCTCTTTCTCCCTACGAGGAAGTGGGATACGGCCAGTACTAGCTGTAGACATTCGTGATTTGAGTGGAGACGCTTTTGAGCCATCTGCAGCCAGCCCTTGGCGAAGAAGGGCAGCTTTTGTTGTGCGTGGAGATATATCAGGAGTTAGATGTGTTTTTGGAAGTGGCCGTGCACGAAATTGTTGCTTTTCAGAGGGTGATCCATTGGAACTGAGGCTCGGGCGTGCTGAAAATTGCGGTGCACGCGCATCCGAAGACTCAGAGGACGGTGTAAAAACGCCTGGAGGGGCATTCAAACCCAGCCTGAGAGCTTCCAGGATTGCAGAGTCGATCGAGCGTACAGAACCAGGGTCGAATTCATCATTTGAAACCAGTTCGTCATCACTTGCAGGGAGATCGTTGGTGGGAAAGGGAGGACTGGAGGCAAATAGAGATGCTATTTGGATTTCTGCTTGCTCTTCGTGCTTTGCGCCTATTATTGCATCATTAAGTGAAGGCATTAATGTGAGGAGAACTTGGACGGCGCGTCTGCGCTCAAGAATATAGATCCAGACTGGACCGCTGAATGGGTGTTAGTGATGGGAGATACAATAAAAAGGGTGTGGGGATGAATCATACTGTTACTAAATAGCCATCAAGATACTCACTAGTCAAGGAACCGAGCATCATCGCCGAAAAGCTCGAAAAATGTGTCGGGATCCGTCTCCGTATCAAACTCCATTTGGCGTTCTTTGATTATCTATAAGGCATGGTGAATCAATTTTTGCATCTCAAATCGAGAAGTTTGGAAATTCTTTGAACGCGACTCCAGACATATTTCACGTGTCATATTCGAAAGACAGGGACTGATGTGCGATACAAGGGCAAAGCATATAAACTCATGAAACCAGTCCACACACCTCGAAATTTGCCTTCACAAGACGCTGTTCTATGTCTAGACGCTGCTCCAATGCGTGTGTCTTAATTATCGCGACAGTTCGCGTCAACCTGGCTGAGGGCGATGCAACTGGATGCATCCTGTTCGAGGAATGAGGTCCATGATGTTCGTGTTCGTGAGGAGGGTCGTAGAACTCGATGGGATTGGCAGGGGATGGGGATTGTGAGGACATAGACTTGGACATGTGGGTATAGTTATTCCCTTACAGCAACTCGGACAGACTAGTAATAACCACAAGAAACAGGGACGAGAGCAGTGGAAAAGCAACGGGCCAGAAAGAAAGGAAAGATACACAAGGACACCCTTGAGCTCACCGCCAACTATAATCTGGAATGACAGCCCTTTCCCCAAGACGACACTTGTGACCTGTCGTGGTCATACTGCTCCCGTGCGGACCTCGGACACCCATCCATCATGACTTTCAGTCTTTCCCTGGGGCCAAGGCAAGACAATACAGGTTCGTGGACAGCAACGAGAAGTGTGTGGAAAGAGCCAAAGCTAATGTTGGCACAATGACACGTATGACACATATGAGTTTAGATAACACGAGGCGGTACCACGGCCCCGACTGTAGCACGTAAGGATATCCCTTCATCAAACATAGAAGTAACGATATCATAATGATTTCTCAGTAACAATGCCGCTCTTTCCTCCCAAAGAAGGAATAAAAGATGCCAAGTACGCTGATTCTTTATCGACTCAGAGGTCTCCGAATAATCTCCTTCTGTAACAGTATAAGCATGACACATTTCATTTATCGAGAAACACTCACAGCCCATCAGGCGCCTCAGTCAGTACCGAGTACCCTCCGACCATCTCTCTTGGCCAGACATCCCGCAGGAACCATCCAATGTGACCGACCGCACACCCAATTAGATCTCCTGCCGCCGCCTTCCATGTTCCACTTATTACCCAAGAGAAAATCACGAGAGCTAATGGCAAGTACGGTGCTGAGATTGTGAACAATCCAAAGAGCGATATCGGCGTGGATGGATGTCGACGGGACCACATATATATGGGCACGAAGGCAAGCGAGGAGGAGAGAAATGGAAGGTTGAATAAGGGAGACATGGCCTGTACCACGATGATTAAGATGCATAGGCGACGAGAAGTCGATACAACTTACCAATAACATCACAGATGACAGCAGAAGCAGCCAGAAGTAATCAGCTTTTCTGTTGGCAAATGAGGATTCTTCTAACATCCGACTATATCGCATGCTAGAATCCATGGAAGTCAACACTTTAAGCGATGGAAATCAACAGCCGGGCTCACAAAAAGAAAAGATGGAAAACGAAATCAAGAGATATTGATCCAAAGTAAAAGAATGTCGTGGCCATGCGCCAGGGCTGTACGCTCTATCAGCACGCACACAAGATGTTGCCCTAGTTCAAAACACCACTCACCTGTGCATTGGTAAAAGCGGATTTAAAGCTAAAATACAGTTGCAGAGGTGTCACGAGTTGACATTGCTTAAGAACACGTCAGTTTCGTTACGGTGAATTGAGCATTCGCCTTCATACCACTGCTAAACTCGTGGCGACAGATAGCGCTAGCCATGCACGCGTTATCGGTGGAATCTGGGTCAACCAAGCTTCAATTCCGACGGGCATTCCTCAAGTTGCCAACTAGACCTCAAGAAATCGTCGAAACCTGCGAAACTAAGGTTGTGTGGTGAAGAGAGAGTGAGAAGGGAAGTAGTAATGCAAGATCCACGTGGTCCATCAATAATCATTGCATTTCAAATTTACACTGCCAGCTTAAGTAACTACGTATGCTATACAGTGACAACTGTGATCAAACCATCATATATACGAAGTACTTACTTCTGATTCTGACCACTACTTCGCTGAATTATTGTGTACAGGCGTACGTGTAGCCAATGCGTGTCCAGCATCTCGTATACGATACGTGGTAGAATTATCATTTAATTAATTGTCGGTATTTTGACTCTCGTACATGCCTTGAAATTCAATTTGCAAGTACATTCGATTTCATGATGTTTAACAGCATCGGGGCTCCACAAGCATGAAAAGAACGTAACACAGAACTCCGGTGACGCTCAGAATACGATTAACGCAACTCATTAACAAAGTAATGGAGTGGAAGGCTGCGACTGTGTCATAGTGTGTAACATCCTTACTTCCTACATTTGTACTACATATGGTTACATATCCCAGTTGCCTAAGTACACCACCAGGATGTTCAATGGAAAGTACTACACACGATGATTCAGAAAACAAGAATAGGGTATAGCAAGGTGGAAGTCACTCACAGGGATAGGTTCTAGCCATCACTCCTTAACAGGCTTGAGCGTAGCTGACCTGGACGACTTGGACCCCGAAGCACTTCCGGACGGTCCTTCTAGCCCTATGGTGCCTAAGCGAGACCGCGAAGAACGAGAGCGATGGTGAATGACACCATTTGCATGTGGTATCGGAGGAAAAACGAAACCTGCATTAAGCTCGTCCTTCACGCAGGCTGCCTCCCCACGTTCCTTGGTCGACCGGGTGTGCACTTTGGTTCCGAGTAAGAAAGGTTTCAGTGGTGATTTCCGTGGTGGAACAGGAGGTGCAGGGGGTTTGGAAGATGCCTTGGGAATGCGGGGCGGAGGCGGCCGTGGGGGCGGTAGCGGCAATGGCCGCACCGTGATTTGGCGGGGAATCTGTTTGCCCTCCATTTCGTCGTACTCGCGCAGCATTATGAGAAGTAGTATGGTAAGGACACATGAGGCAGAAGTTATCATCTGTGGGATAAAACCAATGTAGTCTGTCAAAGAAAAGGGTTAATATTTTTTTTCAGAAGCAGAGAAGTTGAAAGAAAACGTACCAATATAAGCACCTGCACGTATGGATAAGTAATTATTCGACCCAGCCCATTAAAAAAACTCACCGTCATCAAGAGCCGGAGGATCTGGCATCGATTTCCTCAGCTGCGGGATGATAAGAACGATAGCAAAGGCAGAAACCAGATGCTTGGTCATGGACCTGATATCGACTAGTCTGCGTGCCAGCAGAACATGTGCGATGGTGACGTGAGTTAGCATCCAGTTGATGCCAAAGAGTAACAAAGCATAGAATCGTAATTGTCCAGGCCTCGTCACATATAAATCGAAGTCGCGAGTGGGAACTTGAGTCCCGTTGATTATCTCGTAGCTTTCGAAGTCACTAGTTGTGACAAGAAAACTGGTTACTTGTTCGATCGTGGAGATTTTGTGAATGGCAATAGTTGTATTTGAAGCATCGACAGCCCGCAAAGTGCTGGGCAGAAGATACGTATCAAATGGGTACAAGTGAGCCCTGTGGACATCCAGCGTATGATCGCTGTCGAATCGAACGAGGTTCTCGATCCTGGTGTATATAATGATGAGCATTAGTCTATCCCAGCGCATCCCTGGACTCACTTGCGCCGCTGACCCGTTTTACGAACGTATGGAATTGCGGAAGGGTCATATATAGCTATAGGTTCAGGAGAGCTATCGGTGCATATCATCAGTCACAGATTCATAGAGCTCAGCAAGGTCACCTACTTATCGGCATAAATCCAGAGGGCCATCGAGGGCAGCCCACATTGACTCTTGTGGACACCAGAGCTTCCGTCGAGTTCAAGACTGTCTCCACATGCAACAAGGGACCATGAGATAGTGACGGAGGGCTCGTTGATATCGACATCGACGTTTTCACCTAACAGGACAACCTGTACGCGAGTTCAACAATAAAGCATCAAAGACGTATGAAAGACCTACACCTGGATCATTCGTTACAACGTCGTTCAGTATGATCTTGAAAAGGGAATCATCTTCCTCATCGCCACTGAGGAATGAACAGGACAGAGCGAGAACAAAAAGCAGGGAAAATATGAGAGCGAAAATAAGGATTGTCACATTCTGCAAAGGAACAACTCCGCCAGTGCCGGTGTGCAGATGAACAGCATCACCGCGGGATCGACCAATGGGACTTGTGCCCCCCATAAAGGCCTGTACGATGTATTAGATGATGCACTATAATTCGATCCACAGCGCGTTTGATGGGATTCACTGGGAAGGGCGTCGGAAAATCCCCAGAGAAAGTGGACAGCACTTCAGGCCCTTCCAGCGCTTGTTCCCTTTCGAAAGTCCAAAAGAAGTTTCTCTCGATGGTTTGCGTAATCCCGTAAGCCGAGCAGATGCCATGGCTCTATTCGGCCTAGACTGTCTTATGGTATTACGTCGTTCCAGAATATCGGAAGGATAGTACCATTTCACTGACTCGATTCAGGGTGAAATCGAGTTCAATCTTCAGAGCAAGGAAGTGCGGCTTGCTAGATCATGATGGTGGGACACAGTACTAGTGGTTACATTAACAATGACATCATAGTTCTCACTGGTACATATATAGGCACGTGACTTGTGAAAACCGTGCCGGATCTGACAGCTGTTAAGTTTGCTCATCCTATGATAGACAGGCAGACTTGAGGCAGACAATCTAAAAGTTCAAACTGCTTACTGACTACTCGTTGAGCTTGTAGTAGTTCTATGTATGCGGCGGAGCCTCGGAGCGCTCAACATCATTTGAGTTTGTACGTGTGTGAGAGAGCGTCAAGTGGATCAAGCCCTCTCGTCAGTCGAAGTACTTCCTCCATCAATGATCTTGAATGCGGAGAAAACGCGTTCCCTCTTAAGTTGCGCCACGTCCTCAATCTTGAGTCTATTTGCAAATTGTAGATCTACTAATCGAGCTCCTGTGCTTAACCTTGCTGCAATTCTTTTGACAGCCATCGCCGACCTCTGGATTCCATGCTCTGTATGTACTATGCGACATGCATCAAACCAGTGTACGCAATGCTGTCAGGGTATATAAAGTTCTGTGAAAAGGTGTTGATCGAATGAGACATGCTTATTCAGCTGTATGTTGTCACGGTCCTCTAATGAACAGCATCGAGCATGCTTGCGAGTGGTTCCTGCCGTAGGAATGATCCGTTCTCTACTGTTCCGGCTTTGATCACCACCATAAATTAATAATTGCAATTACCTCGGGTGGATCACTGATCATTGTCCTGCGGTGACTTTTACCTGAAATTGCACCGTCAGAGAATTTCGAAAGACTGATATGACGACAACTTACGGTTCCCCATCAAGTAGTTTTTTCAAAACTGCAAGCTCTTCTAGAGGACCCGCCGGATCGCCTTCCGGACCGAACACTTCTAATATGTTGCTAGCAAGATTGCGATAGACTCGGGCCCGCTTAAGTAAGGATGTCTTCGCAAGAACTTCGTGTTTATTGTCATGTTCAGTTGCAATCACAGCATTCCACGCTGTCTTCGCCATCTCTAGGAGATGCATACCTATTGACAGTGTCAGAGGAAGATAATATTTTCAATGATGCAGAATTCCCTACCAATCTGTGGATAGGTTTTTGGGTATATTAAAAGATACACGGCAAGTACGGTTAGCCCAACATCAAGAGCGACATGATAAGAACCCTCGTGAGAAGATCTGCTGAAGGTGTCTGTGAGCCGCGATAGATACGATTCGCGAAGCACAGGGTGGAGATTTTCTGGAAGGTCTGGAAGAGTTAATCCCACAAACGGCGTGCGATCGTCAACATCTGAAGAAGGAAAACAATGTTTTTGCAGAGTATTGTCCAATTCCTGAAGTGCGGCCTCTGAGACAGGCAACGAAGGAATGGAGCCAAGCGTGCTGATGAAATTGCATGATGGGCAGGTACAGGAAAATCCATAGGTGAGCTCGAAGATCTGCTGACGAGATTCTATTAAAGCAGGGTCCACATATGGAATATAGATCTGCAAGACGAGATCAGTTTAACTCTATAATGACCATCTAACATAGGTGAACAAAGTACCTCCTCCGTAGCCTTGATCTCCCGCAAAGCTACAATTTCCATCCGCACTGACTGACCTCGGCGGATCATATATCTTGCAGCGGCGTTTGGAAGACACGAATGGTTGAAAAGGCGACTCGCAAGAGGGAATATGCCATGAGCGATAGTATTGAGATGACTGTGAATTGCGAAATTGTTATTCCCAGAACGTGTAAACAGAGCTTCAAGGATTTGGTGCACATCAGCGCCTACAGACATGGGGCAAGCAATTGGGAGGGAGTCATGCGGCGGTCCAGGCAACAGAGACATGAAAGTGGATAGCTGCTTTGCTCTTACATCGGAAGACGCATTAGATGCAATCTCTGCTACAAGATGGGTGTGAAGCAAAGCATCTAGTTGCTCGTGCGCTTCCATGTATTGAAAATCGGCTGAAGCCATAAAGGAAGCAAGTCTCTTGCAAAACTTTTTGTGCGAGCCCCAGTGCAAGGTTTGGCCTGAGGATGCTTTCAAGGCTGTTGTCACACGTTATCAACAGAGAATACGCACACTGTGGTCCGCAATACCAGTATGAAGCACAGCCAGTACATTTGGCCAGCCTGATTTCAGGTGTTCCTAAGCAGAGACAAAAATCACATCGGCGACCTTTGTCCGACGAGAGTAACAGAACCACCATAGATGGCACTTCCAGAATAACTGAACCTGGGCTGATATCACTTGCAGCAACTGCTTTGTCACGAGCAGTAGCGTGTGCCTCCAGGCGAACACATGCGGGAAGCTCGTCCAATGACGAGGGCATCAGGACCAACTATTGCAAGACAATTACTGTAGTGCAACGGTCACTGGCAAGTCACTGGTGATAATAAAATCGGCGCATTCCAGAAATATCACACGGACCTTTCGGAAAATAATCGTACCGTTGATCGCCCTTCAAATTGGCACTCAGTCACAATCTCTGCAGGAGACAATGAGCGAACTCGGACCGCAAATCAAGGAATTTTGAAGAGTTGTAGAAGACTGAGGCAGTCGCGGACTGCTCACACCAAACCACGTCCGACTGACCACACTCGCTAGATATGCTAGTAAGAAAAGAATGCTGGCAGTGATACGATTAAGGAGAGTCCGAATCACGGCGGAGGTACAGATTGAACTTGATCAAAGTTTGATTTACATAAGTTCGTTGGTGTGATTACTGTGAAATCTTTATTTCCTTTTCTGACATAAGGTGGGAATTATTTACGACTGCCAGGACGTCCAACCCTGCATGCATGGACCATATAGCTAGCTAGTTACACGTCGCGTGTTTTGTGCTCAAATGTTGCTTGAACAACACCTCACACACGGCTATTAAGATATCGGAGCATCGCCGGTGGTGAATAGCTCTCGCAAAGCTCTATCGTCATCATTATTACCTAGCTGCGACGGTGTGCATACATTCGCAATGCGATAGCAGTGAGTCCATGATGTCAACAGTAACTTAAGAATACATCGGCGCCGTGTGCAGAGCGCGTGATTAGGCATCGTGCCAATAATAACTCTCTTCAAATTGGCTTCAAATCTTCAAGTGAAGGACGTGGATGATCACAAGACTTGCCGACGGTACGTATGTCAGAGTCGACGATAATCGTTGAACGCTCCGAAAGGGTGGGGATTATCAAGCTCAATCGACCTAGGGCTTATAACGCACTATCTGGAACATTGATCAACGAGTTATTGGATGCTTTGAGGTCGTTCGAGAGCGACCCCAGCATAGGCGCTATTATCCTGACGGGCAACGAGAAAGGATTCTGTGGTCAGCTCCAAAATCTTTCTACACAAATCAATCTGATCGTCTTACAGCTGGTGCGGATATCAAGGAGCAAAGTGAACTGTCCTTTGTCGATGCATACAACCAAGACTATCTGAAGAATCTAAATGACGGATTTTTTGCTGTCCATAAGCCAATAATCGGGGTCATCAATGGTATCGCAGTGAGTCGATCACTTGATGTTCACCTCAATCGACTGACACAGCGTGCACCCAGCTGGGAGGTGGTTGTGAGCTGGCGATGATGTGTGATATTTTGTATGCAGCAGAGAGTGCAACGTTCGGGCAGCCAGAAATCACACTGGGAACCATCCCAGGAGCTGGAGGGACACAGCGCTTAATCAGGGCTATTGGGAAATCGAAAGTAATTGCCGCAAGATCAGGTATCTACAGCATCACTAATGGTCACTTTGTCAGGCGATGCACATGATATTGACGGGGGAGATTATTAGCGCAAAGGAGGCCGAAGCAGCAGGGCTTGTGGCTAAGGTTCTCCCCGCAGAGCAGGTCTTTAGTGTGGCCTTGACAACAGGTACGTAGAGCGTTTAGTTCCCCTAAAGGTGACCTAACTATTGCAATAATCGTTTAGCGAGCAAGATAGCGAGTTTCTCCGCTCCCGTCGTAGCAATGGCAAAGGAAGCGGTCAACGAAGGTCAGTGACTTCAAGTACCTTTCACAGCGTACTATGCATTATTGAACATCAACATTGACAGCTGAAGAGCTGGGGTTGAAGAATGGGCTACATTTCGAAAGCAGACTTTACCACGCGACCTTCGGGCTGGAGGATCATGCAGAAGGGTTCCAAGCATTCCTCGCCAGACCCAAGCGTGTAGCGCAGTGGACACACAAATGATGATCAATCAGCCTGAATGTTGCACGAGATATATAAGCACCTCGTGGTATTATAGAGTGTCAGATTGTAAGATAATTCGATGATTGTACAGGGTATGACGATGTAGCAAACAAATCAAATTGGCATGAGCCAAGATGTTGGATCGACAATTTCACCGGAACCTTTGGCGTTCAATTGTAGACTTCTGTCTCGAATCTCGCGAAACACGCCTGTCGCATATAAATAAACAAAGTGAAAACAACAGAGATACAACCTTACCAATAATACTCCATCACCTCAGCTTGACCAAGCTTGCGAAGGAAATTTTCGTCGTGTGTGATGATGATCAGCTGAAAGTTTGAATGATTCTTCCTCTCGTTAATGATGCTCCAAAACAAGTTAGCACTTCTCGGTGAAAAAGGCCATCGAAGATCACTTACTCGACAAGGCTCTCAGCGAGTGCATCGATGTTTTCCACATCAAGAGCGTTTGTTGGTTCATCCAACGCCAGAATGCCACAGTTTTGACCAAACGAATCAGAGAGAGCGAGACGGATAATAATTGAGGCCAACATCTTCTGACCTGCGGAGCATCGTCCACGCATGTCCATCTCGACTTGATCTTTGGTCATAACAACCTATTAAAAGGATGTCAACAAAACAGCATTTACCGTGGCGAGAAAGCACTCACTCGGTAATTATAGGATCGCTTTGATGCGCCACCTTCAACGTCAGAGCGGATTTTGATACCATCAATATCTAACAGCGATTAGCACTTAACCACGACATGACGTAAGGGTACACACCGGTTCCTTGATACGTTTTATTCCAGAGATGACGCATAGTATCGTTGACTTCCTCCATCTTCAGACCGTGGTATTTCATAATGGCACTAGGAGAGACATAAATATAGGACCATAGGGCCAGAGATGTGCAGCTTACTTGTCCAGGGCCTTAGCATACTTCTCCAGATCATTATTTGCCATGTCGCACATCTAAGCAAGCGTCAAATTACTCGATTTTGCAGATCGGAACCAGATTCAGACCTTGACCTTGACCAATTGGTCGGTATACCGCTTGTTGATATCCTTGAAGTCACGTAGATCCTTCTCTGTCATCTTGAGTTGCTCTTGGTGGGAACTGATTTCGCCTCCTATATGGGCATACTGCAGAACATGAGATGATGCAAACTGAAGTGTGAAAGTGAACGAGCTCTTACCTTGCTCTGCATTTCCGTTTCCCTCTGTTTCTCGACCTGGTAACGATCTTGGAAGTTCCGCTTGGCCTTTGCAGCTCCCTCCATATCGCATGAGTCAATTTCAGCTTGTGTAGCTGCTATATCACGGGAAAGCTTTCTGATACGAATGTTCCCGTGCAAATTCGCTACCAAACTCCCGCTCTCGCTGATATCCCGGTCAATCTTAGCTATGGCATCCCGAGCGTTCTCGATATTGGTCACAAGATCTTTGATGTCCTGCTCGAATTGTTCTATCTTGTCGGCACACTCAACAAGAAGACGAGCCCGCTTATCACGAATATACCTGGCAGATGTCAACGGAGAGTTTTACAACACACGTGTAATGGCATACCGCTCGACGATTTTATTGAGGTTGTCAAGTTTGTCAACGTTCGTGTTGAGCTCTTGTACGGAACGTTGAGCCTCGCGAATCCTTGCATCAAGGTCGACCATGGCTTGCTGATGCTCTTGCTCAAGCATATCGATGGGAGCTTGCGCCTCTGAAATCTTTGAGTCCAGTTCCTGGATTCATAAGGGCACAAAGCAATTCAGCCTCTAGTAGTCTAGACACTCAAGAACTGACCTTGAGTTTTGCATGTAAGGTCGCGATCTCGTTGGTCATTGTGACGATACGTTCTTCCATAATATCCTTGTCGCGGATCTGATTGGAAAGGGTGTTCTCTTTCTTTTCCATCGCGTGCAGGTCATTCTCATTCGTCCGCAGCAATTGGTTCTGGTGGTCACGCTCTGTCATGAGTGCTTGCCTCTCTCTCTCATTTGAGCGGCTGTGAACAGATCAGCTAGAGGATTGTTTGCCGGGTAGGCAACGTACATCTCATTAGAAAGGACATCAAGTTCCCTCTGCACATCATCACCAGTCTTGGCGGTACCAGTAGCAGTAAGCTCCGTTTCCAGTTGTTTGATATCGCTCTTGAGTCGCTCGATCTCATTCTGGTTACGTGACACGGTAGAGGCGGATTGCTTCAAGGAAGCAACTTCTCTAATGTCCTTCTTGAGATCGGTTAATATCTGAGCAGCCTGTATACAAATGAGATTTCAAGTTTCAGAAATTCACAAGGGTATCTTGCCTGCTCTGCCTTTTCGCTATTGGACGGAAGATCTTCATCCAAAGCCTTGATTTGCCTCTCCAGTGCTGGAAGCTCGACCGTCCTGATGCGCTCCTTAGTTGTAAATACAGGCATAAGAGCACGGAGGTGCTTCAATTCATTTTCCCACTGTGTAACTTCGGCCTTCTGAAGCTCGACTGCCTCTGGAGAATGGTTCTTGATTTGCTCCTTGAGCTGTATGCGTAATTATTAGATTATGGCTCGAAAATGAACTCGGATGATACATACATATTTCTCAAAACCAGCCATCTCATTGTCATGTAGACCGCGATTACAGGCAGTACAGCGTTTCTTCGCCTGTCCTACTTTCAAAATTTGCTCATACACTTGACTCACGCCTGGTTTGCATTCACTGTAGTAGGAATCAACAATCAGTTGAAAAGAATCTGTGGAAACACATACTTCTTGCGAATTTCGAGCTCCTTCTCTGCGAGCGAGAGGGCGATGTCGAAAGCAATCCCTCCTTCAATCTCGTCCTTGAGTTTCTTTTCCAGTTCTATGACCAAGTTGGTTCAAGATGTGCCTTTAACAGGCGCGAGTGCTTACTTTTCAATTCGTCCCGCTTGCTCTTCATCTCGGATTTTGCGTGCGATAACGTTGTTTCTGCTTGTTGAAGCTCTTTGTTAGCAACAGCGGCCTCTTCCTCTGCCTCGACAAGCTCCTCATCTTTCTCTCTATTATCATTATGGTTAAGCGAGTCCTGATAATCAAAGGCAGAGTTACCTTGAGACACGGTCAATATCACGCTCCATCGTTTCCGCTCTTGCATCTCTGCCTATCAACTTCCGGAATTTTACATTGCACAACTCAAGGCTATGAAAAACTGTCAGAAAATAGATGAAGTTGTATAAGGAACTCACATGTTCTTGGTATCTGATGTCTTACTCCGCATCTCTGCACGCTTGAGATCCAACCGAGCCCTCGATTCCGCCTGCAGGCTCAGGCCGCGAAGTTCCGTGTTCAGGGTATCGCGCTGATCTTCCATATTCCGTGCCTTTACGGCCTTCGCGCTCAGTCGTTCATCGAAGTTGCCAGATTGCATATCCGCCTTGATCTTCTCGAGACGCAATTTCTTCTCCTCGATATCACCAGCAAGAGTGCGTAGTTCAGATGCGAGACCCTGCATGGTGTCGACCGATGATTCAGCTTTCGTGATAGCAGCTTGGCGCTCTTTCTATCATGGGAAGAGTGTAAAGCAGCTTGTGAGATCAAATAGGATGTGAACATACGATCTGTTCGCGTGAATTTCCTCGTTGCATACGAAGACTTTCCAGCTCGGTGTGAAGCAGTCGTAACTCACGACTGTGTTCATCATTTTTACTGTTCCTTCCAGTCTGTATGATTGTTAGTGCACTGAAGGGTGCCAGGGTTGCCAGGCTAGTGCACCTGCAGCTTATCAAATTCGGACCTCTGTCGGCGCTGGAGATCCCCGAGCCGAGAGACAAATTCAACTACTTTCTCGCGTTCAAGAGGAGTGTGGTTGTAACCCTTGATGTTGTTCTTGTCGCTGATGTCACGGATGAGTTCTTCGCGTTCGGAGATGCGACGGTCGTGTGCCTAACGATCGTGTCAAAAACGCAATGCAAAAGCAAATTGAATAAGCACCTTGGCCTCTGCAGCAAGTTCTCCATGTTCATTAATAAGCTCCACATGCGACCTTCGCGTTTTCGCAAGCTCATCCTCGAGGTCTTGTCGTTCCACCTCGCGTCTATTGCGAGCTATTTTCTCCTTTTCAATGTTCTGACCAAAGTTGCTCAAGCGCTCTTGCAGCTCCTCATCAGTGCCTATATGTACTCAGTGTTAGCCACAATGCGTAAACAGGAACGAAAAGGTTACCTCCAACTTCCTGTACGCTCTCTTTCGCCTCCGAAAGCTCCTGTCGATAATGTTCCTTCTTTTGTTGCAGATTTTCAACCTTGACGTACAACTCGCGGAATTGGGTAGCGGACTCGTAGAAGCGAGCATTGTTCTTGACAAGTTCTTCGTACTGCTTCTTAGTCTCTTCGTACTGTAATTGCTTCCCGGTAATGGTCGCGTTCAGGTCGTTGATACGGCCGCGGAGTTTATCGGCATGCGACTTCTCTTTGGCAATAGATTCTAAACGTTCTTTGTCCGCTTTGAGGTCTGCAATGCGATCTTTGCGCAACGATTTTATAGAGTCGAGCGCCTTGCTATAACTAGCTCATATCTTAGCTGAAAGGTCATACCACTCAAGAATAGAAAAACTTACCGCGTGGCCTCGAAGATATCATCAAATTTCTTCTTGAGCGCAGAAGGTTCGGCAAGGGGCCAGTACGAATCTTCTTGATGACAGAAAATTACATTCTCCAGAACAGACTTCGATACCCCAAGGAGATGGGGGATTTCTGTGTCTATCTCAGCGCACTTCGTGGAAATAGCTCCCCTCTGGTGTAGGCAGGAATGTTCAGACTAGTCTAAAATCCAAGTGCCTCTCACTCACCTTCCCGCCCTTTTCGGTATTGCTATCCGCAAGTGCAAGGATGTTTTCAAGGGTCTTCATAGTTAAGCCAGTCTTCTTGACCGTCACTGAAAGATTCCTAACGACAAGCATACGTGTTCCATTGGCAGCATGAAATCGTAACTTGACCTGAGCTTTGACTTCCTTTTCATTTGCCATCTTCGGGTCATGGATGAACG